CCTAGTTGGATTATTGTCTCAAAAACTCAACTAACAGCTGGCTCACAGATTGCCACTCCCCAAAAAAAAGCTATAGAAAATATATAAAAAAATATATTTTTGGAGTTTCATAAACATCACCCAAAGTCCAGTCACCTTCACGCACTTTGCATAAGACACAAAGGCAGCCAAAAATAGATTGCAAAAATATATGAAAACAATACAAAAATATTGAAATATCTCAACGCTAAACCGCAATTTTCTATGACAAAAAAAAATCAAACAAAAACTCTGTTGAACATAGAGAGAGGGGCCCTTTTTGGTATGATATAATCCCGAAAAGCTGCTAACAAATCTTAATGCTGTTTAAAAATAAATAGCAATTGTTCAAATCGAAATAAACAAAAATTGGTAGGAGATGCAATGCCGATTACGAGGGTTAAATATCGTGTCGAATCGATTTGGATAGCCCTACAGGTGTATCTCCATGTTGTTTATTGTGTTTTTTTTTTTTTGTTTTTTTTGTGACAAATGTCAACGAACAGCGAAACGAACCAAACAAAAGGTTCGATCAAGATTTCAAATTGTCTATTGTTGCCGCAAATCGCCCGCCGATGGTGACAATGGGCCAGAAGTAGCATCCAAGTAGCCAAAAAAAATATATAAAAAGGTGTTGCTGCTGCCGCTGGAACGGTACTTTCGTGGCCATTCTCGGTCTTCCAAGTCTTCCAAAGTCTTGAGTCTTCAGTCTCAAGTCCCATTCTTTTCTTTTACTCTCGCTCGTGTTCCATTAATAGTCAAAGTTCATGTGTCAGGGCGATGGAAATCGAAATCGATTGGCGGTCAAAGAGTGAACCTGCTGCCTACAGGGAAACCTAGCTAAAGGTAACACCATATTTTATATGGTAAAGGTTTTGGGTTAGGGTTGTTGTATCCTGAAGATGAAAATATGGAAAATGATATTATATTGAAAATAGCTTCTACTTTGATATATCAAAATAAAAAAATATCGAAAAATATCGGTTTGAATGTTAAATTATCGATATATCTTCTAAAACTATACGAATAATTTGAAACTATTTATTAATTTATTTATTTTTATTTATATATTTATTATTTTTAGTTATTTGTTTAATATTTTTATTTATTTATTCAATATTTTTAGGGGTAAATAATATAGTATTATTAATTTTTATGTTTTACATAATAGAATTCACAATAAAAATTTGATTTTCGTTTAAGATCTATATTTAAATTGTTTAAACTGTACAGAAATATTTTTTAATATTTAAAAAACCCTCTCCTATAGTCACGCTTCACTGTCAATTTATTTATCTCAATATGAGAGCTCTTTTGGGGACTTTTTAAACAAACTTTATTTATGTTTTTCTTCACGCTCGACCGTTAAGTTAACTGCACATTCGCTTTGTTTGGCTTATTGGCCGCTTATTGTTTTAACTCCATGATCTCTGATCTCTCGCGGGCCCTCTGACATGATTTGTTTTCCTTTCAAAGAGTGAAGAATGTTTTAATTATTGGGCGAGAAAGAGAGAAAGAGAGGGTCTCGCAGGTCAAGTAAGCCCAACTAATCGATTGATTAATGTCACCCTCTCTCGCTCTCTAAATTTAGATATCTACATATGCCCCCTGGGTCAGTCGTGCCGCGATTTGCCACGCCCAGCAAGAGGTGTTGCCCCAAGTGAATAACTAATATTCCATTAAATACCCTAATGACTGTCACTAAATAGACATTGATAGGCGTAGCCCGGCGACAGCCAAAAGAATGCCACTGTAAATGCCGCAGGCGACACGAAGATGCGGCACGTGTGGGAATATTCAATAATGAATTCTTCAAAAATAAAAAAAATCTCAGAAGGTGTATAACAGAGAAATGAATATATTAGGGGGAAGAGAATTTTCTGGGGTTTTTAAGTAATATTTAAAAAAGAAAAGAAGCACTTGCTTTTTAGGCAGCTTAATTTAATTTCAATTTAGACTATAAATCTTGTTAAAAACAAAAAGAACACTGAATTCTCCCAGAGAAACCAGAAGCCAAGACAAGACAGAAATTTTTCACTTACGGCAGACCGAAGGCATTAGGGAAATCAAATGGTTAAAAGACAAATAATGAGCCCCAACCACATTCCAAATCATTTACTAGGCTCATTCTAGCAAGTCCAAGCTGATTCTCCTACAGAGTCTCCTTCAGATTCTCCTATAGATTCTCCTATAGATTCTACTATAAATTCTCCTATAGATTCTCCTTCAGTAGCCAAGTTGCTCCATCGTTCGGTCAATGTTTTCCCAAAGCCCCCGGAGATGATGTCCGTCTTTGGTGGCTACCCATGCCCCCCTCTGCTCGATTCTGTTCTGAAAAAGTCCATAGATGGCTTAGATGTTGTGCTGCTCCCCTCTTGCACAGGTGTGCTGCTAAAATAGTTGACTAATTAATTTATAATGCAATTTCAATGCACCAATCGAAGAAAGAGAGAGAGAAAGATAGAAAGACGCAGGATGATCGCTACCATTTGCAACATGGAAACCGTTTTAATACACACCACAACTGGCACCAGGCTAAAACCAATGCCAGCAGCCGCCTAATCATTGTTTATGACATGGTTAAGCCACTGGTCAAGCCAATGGAATGGCACACAGAACAAAATGTATAAATTTAATATTCAAAAAAAAAATAATAAGAATAAATTTAAAGGTTTTTTAAACATTAGAAGCCATAAAACAATATTTTAAATATATATTTTTGACTTACAATGTCTTTAAATCAGAGAGTAAAAAGAAAAAACTAATTAATATTTAAAAAAAGTTTTAATTTAAGTTCCTTAAAATGTATTTTAAATATTTAAAATTTATTTATTAAACCCATTTCCCTCAAAAATTGAATAAGAATATTTTACATACATAATTTTGACTTAAAGAACTAAAAATAAATTTAAAAGTAGCAATTAAAATAGCTAAAATTATCAAAAAAAAATATTTAAATTTAATTTATCATACTTATTTCTTTATAAAAAAATATTTCTAAAATATTTCTAAATTCTTTTCGGTGTCTTAAAGACTTGGTCAGGTCTTTCCGTTCTTTCTCCTCCGAATCTCAGGTTGTGTGGTCCCCTTCTCCTACCACTTTCCCCCTTTCCTTTAAGCCTCCGCCTCCTGTTTATTTTCTTTTTTTTTTTTTAGCAAGGGAAATTTATGCAAATGGCCAAACAGATCTTGCCAAAGCCTTTTTGCGCAATTATCCCCCCAGACAAGACCTCACCTGCTGCTGCTGTCTTTGGCATTTGATTGAACTCAAGTGTGCCAGATGCGTAATGAGTTGATGAGGCAAGGGATCCGGATCCCCATTGGTTTAGGGTACAGGAAGGGGAAGGGGGGGGCTAAGGCGCTAAGGCGCAAAACACGTGACAACAACTGAAAAATCAATTGGAAATTCCTATGAGTACGAGAAGGAAAAATTAAAAACAAACAACAACCAGCAGCAGCAGCAGCAAGTAGAAGAAAAACCACTTGCGTGGGGGTGAAATTATTCGTGTTCTTTTTTTTCTCGCACAGTGGGTTTATAGATTAAAAAAAAATATATAATTAATTACTTTAAAATCGAGTTATATAAATAATTGTCTATCCTTTTCTTAAAAATTTTCTATGAATTTAATGAATATCAGTTTTTTCTCATCTTTTTTCTATGCATTTTATGAATATCACAATTCTTTTGTTAGAACTTGTTGGGAATTCTAGTGTCAAGACCAGAAAAAAGGTTTTAGAATCAAATAAATACATTAAATAAATTAAAATATTAAAAAAAAACGAAATAATACACAATATTTTATAACCAAAACCATTATTAATTTAATAAAATTATTTACCTGTACACCTAATATTTTGTACCACTGTACCGGCCAACGGCATTTGTGCAACACACAAGAACTGTTGCTGAAACCTCCGATTTCAGATTTCAGATTTTCCGATCTCTGATTCTCCTTAACCCCGGGCCAATGCCCAAAATGCAAATCGATGCTTGGGGAGTTGCTCGATATATCTCTCGATTCCAATTTCAATTCCGAGTCCGATTCTGTTTCTGATCTACGATTTGCGTTGACAATTTGGTCGATGGTCGCCGCCAAGGCTTTTCCTAGCATTCGGCAACAACCGCTAGGAACCGAGTTCGAGTCCGAACCCGAATGAATGGGCACCGGCGAGATATGTGGATATCGCGAATCGCAAATCGCGAATTAGGTTTTGCAATGTGGATGGAAATGAACCGAATACGCACGCCAGGCAGCCGCAGGTGACCGCTTTGAATCCACCATCTGCAACGTGATGTGGCGAAATGCGAGTGAAAAATGAAGAGATTGTGCCCAAAAGCAGGTCATGAAAATTGCAAGAAAATTTAACTTGAAAGTTTTTGATATTTTGGGATTAAAAGGAGGTTTTAATTTAATTAATTTAATTTACTAAACTCATGAATGAGTCATAATTGAAAGAATTGTGATTGAATAATGGCACAAGAGGGTCACAAAAATTGTAAGGAAAATATATACGTTTATAAGGTTTATGAAAAAAATTTTATTTTAATGTAATAAAGTCTAAATATAAATTAAATTAAATTAATAATTTATTTTTACACCTTTGTTCGAACTTTTTATAAATTAAAATAATTTTAAATAGTTAATTTTTTAAGTAAATTCTTAAAACAAAAATATGAAAGCATTGCCTGTATTATAAAAAAATATAAATTAATATAAATTAAATTAAGTTAAATTAATTTAAATTTTTAAAATTACTTTTACACCTTTGAACTTATTAAAATGTTTTTAACTAGTCAAATTTTTAAGTAATTACTTAAAACAAAAATAAAGGAAATTTCCTGCATCCAAAAAAAAAAAAAAAAACATGGAAACTAATCTCTCTGATCTTTAACAACTACTTAAATGTTAATAAATATCCAGAAAAATACCTGAGAAGCGGAAGAGGGAACCTCCCTGATTTTTTTGAAAGAAAACAAACAATGCTTTTTAATACATATTAATTTTGCTCCGTCATAAGGTAAATAAGTGAGGCCAGCCAGGCCAGTTCAGTGAATACATAAAAATATTATATATATTGTTTTTTCCAACCATAATTTCTGCCCAACATCATCTCATGAGCTTCTCATCCAATCGATTAATCTTTATGGGAGGACATTAAAATTTACGATTGCTCCTCTCCTCGAGAAGGATACGGAGCAGACAGAGAATCAAGAGAGGAGGTGGAGGATGATGATAAAGGTGCCTCGTTGGGATCCTTAAAGATTGAGCTCCACTGTCGCCATAAGTGTAGTGGACAATGGCCCGTTTGGTGCTAACAACCTGGTCCAATCTATGGGCATGATGGGTCATTTCATTCTGAATCAAGCACTCGTTCATCAGGTCATCCGGCAGCTGGATGTGAAATGGAAAGCAAAACATATTTGCCTGATCCAGGGACACTGTCTCATTGCGATTGGTGTCCAAACAGTGGAAAGTATTGCTGTTCTTAAACTCCAAAGTGTAGCAATCCTGGAGCGGTGATTTCTTCTGCACCACCAAGACATTCTCCAGGGAAATGGACACGTACATGGAGTACGGTTCGCCGACCTTAACCAATGTATCCCGGTATTTGGTAAAAGCCACCAAAGGATACCTTCCCTGGCATGTCCTCTCATAGATCTGGTTACCTTTCAACAAGAACTCGCAACGCTTGGGCACCACATTTCTTGGCTGAAAGACATTTGCCTGTTTAATGCCAGAGACCAACAGCAGGATTAACAAAGGCCAAAATTTCATTATTAAAATGAATTTTATATATTTTTTTTTTTTTTTAATTTATATTGAGTATGGATTTTGGTTCAAAAATAAAATTTAAGGCGTGTGGGTCATAGCTAACTGGGGCTGGGGTTTTTTCTACAGAATTATTATAAAGGATTTTCCATTTATGATTACTATAGTATACTATATACCCCTAAGAACCCCAAAACTCTACCCTATATACCTTTCATAGTTTATTTTTAACACTACCACTCATAACACTCATAGAACTCTACCAAATTGGCATTATTCATTCCGCCCTGTCGTTGATTTGCTGCCAATTTAATTGATTCAATTACGGATCGACATTATTTCAATTAGGCATTATTTCACAGAGAGATTGGATGGAGAGGAGGGGAGACAGAGGGGTGAATCCTACATGACAAGTTGAGGCCGAAGCTATCATCGATAATTATGATGAGTGTGTGAGTCCGTCCAACAATCGATCGATGGTCGGATTCTGATTTGCCTGCATAGCTCTCTCGGTGATTAATGCAACGGCAAACTGTTCGGTTCGCCACTGATTGAGTGATTGACGGATTGGCTCTGGATTGCCGGAAGAAAACACTCGTCTAAAGATTGTTCAGATTGCATAATCCGTTTGAATGCAAACATTGTGGGTCTCATTTTGATTGATTTAAAAAATCGAGTTAATTGAAAAGTAACAGAATTGTATGAGACTTTTATGGGTATTATTAATATTATTATTATAATTAATATGATATTTATATGAAAATGTTATATTTTTTTAATTAAATAAATTATTTATTATTTAATTGAAAAAAAAAAAATTTTAGCTCAAACTTTTTAAATTAAAGAAAAATACAACTTTTGCCATTAAATAAATATTATTAGAAATTATTAGAATATTTTAGAAATTATTTTCTCATTCAAAAATTTAATTTTAAAATTATTTTGATGACTTATATTATAATATTAATATTTATTTATACTTATTTATGAATATTTTTAATTTATAAATAAATTTAAAAATATTTATATAACTAAAAAAATATATAAAATAAATATAAAAAAAAAAAAAAAAAAAATACATTGCTTAGAATACTTTATAAAATATTTTTTATTCTGCCATTTAATTTTAAATATTTTAAATGACCTAAATTATAATTATAATATATATTTATATTTATATATATGATTTTATATTGTATTATAAAGATGTGTCATAAAAGAAAGGCTTTAAAATAAATAATTGTAAATTAAATTTGTTAAAATATTTTACAAAATATTTATTAAGAGCTCAATTTAATTTTTAAATACTTCAAAGGCAAAGGACTTTGAAGTTAAAAATAAATAAAATAAATCATATAAACAACTAAAAAAATATTTAAAAATTAAATTGAGCTCTTAATAAATTCTCAAAATTCCTAATAAATAGCTGTAAAATTTAGTAATGCAATATTATTAAAACATATAATATTTATAATATTTATTATATAATTGTTAAAAATAGTTTTTAAAATATTTCAACACAATAATCTTTCTATAGATATATATACAAATAATAAAATAATGATAATAAATAGTTTATATTGACCATTAAGAATTTTTATTATCAAACTTTTTCTTGATTTTGAATTAAATTAAATTTAAATTTAATTTTGAATTACATTAAATTTTGAATTAATTTCATTTTTCAATTAAATTAAATTTTAATTAAATTATTCATAGATATCAGAAACTTGAATATTAAATTCCTACTTAAAAATCCTTCATACTTGACTTTTATAATTTATAATTATTATAATAATTATTTATAATTTTTTTAAAATAATTTCCTTAAGCTTTAGTTTCTCTTTTCTTAGTAGAAACTTCTTCATTTTTTCCCCCATTTCTCGTGATGATTTATCAGGCAAATCAATTTAATTCTCGCCTTTTCGTGGACCCCCTGCTGGGCGCGCACTCTCGAAGAATCCATTTAATTAGCCAAGATCTTGGGTCTTGTGTCTTTTGGGTTGGAATTGGATGGCATTTAATTTAATATTGTATTTATCAAATGGCAAGCTGATTTAACGGCATTCTCTGTGCTGGTTTTTGTATATTCTTTATTTTTTTTCGGTTTGTTTACTTTTCTGTGTGTTGTGTGTTTTGGGTTTTTGATGGAAATATGCATGAGTTTATTGATTTTGTCATTAATGGGATTTCCTTTCAGACCCAGCAGGTGGCAATTGTCATGCTCGGCCAGTGTTGTCAACATTTACTTATATTTATGGTCTGAGAGGAGAGGGGGGTTCTTCTGATCGCTGGCAAGTTTTTTTTTTTTTTTTTTTGAAAATTATATACACATATGATCGGAAGTTGGCACTCCATTTGCGGCAAGTGTTGCTGTTCTCCATATTAATAAAGTTTATAAAAAATATAAACAATAGTCGGAGAGTCGCGTGTGGTTCTATACTTCCGTTGCCTCTTCCCAATCCCCTTTTCCCTTTATTTCGGAATTGTGTCAGGGAGAATCGGGGGAAGAATCCAAAATATAGAATCGAAATCGGAAGCATTCAGTATGCGCACATTGTGCCAGATATTTCCACAATTCTACAGGGTATCAGGAGTAGGATCTTTATAAGTCTTTAATTTCCAAGAATCCACAGCACTTGGTGGCTGAAATGATAGCTTTAATCCCTCGCTGGATCGACACCTGTTATGCAAATATATACAGCCAAATATGTCACTTAGTCTGAAGTCTTAAAGTCTTAAGCTTAGCATGAGCTTAGAGATAAGTTTGTGACATGATCGGCACGGAAATAAAGCCATGAAAAGGTGCTTGATTTAAAGCCCGATCAAAAAATGATTAAATGACAAGAAAAATAAGTATTAAAAAATTTTAAATTATTTTTAAAGAAAATCAAATTACTTAAAAGAAATTAAAACTATTTTAAAAAATTAAAATTAAAATTAATTTAAAAAAAAACAAAAAAATTATTAAAAAAAAATTATTAAAAAAAATTAAAATTATTTTAAAAACAAATTAATATTATTTAAAAAGAATTATAATTATTTAAATGGTAAATATTTAAAAGAAAAAATACTAGATAATTTTATATATAATTATATAAAATAAGATTAATAAAAAATTTTAATGTAAAATATATATTTTGTTCAGAAATATTTTTATTAATACTTATAAAAATTATTAAATAAATTTTTAATTTAATTTGATATTTGAAATATTAAATATTACTAAATAAACATATGCTTTCACATTTCTTGAAGATTTTTAAATAAAAAAATTTAAAATTTCACTTAAAAAAAATTAAATAATTACTGGGTATCATTACAGTCTTTTTATCTTATGCTTTTTTACTTGTTTTCCTCGAGTGCATATAAATTTTTTGCAGTTTTCTTCCATAGTTATAATCGATTCGGTGGTTTATGGTTTATTGCACTTGATATATTGCCCTTTGTTTCGGGTGATTTTCTTTTTTTTTTATAATTTTTATTTTTTAGTGGAAGCCTTTTTTTTTGCGACCATATTTAAGGTTGATGGATAAATAAATGCTTTAATGGCGACCTTCCAATTGCCAATGGAATGAAGTTCGTTGGCCACTTTGGCTGCCGGCGATTTGTTAATATTTTTTTTCGTGTGTGTGTTAATTTTTTTGTAAGCTTTTTGGTTTAGCTCAAGTTAAGTGTTGATTTTTTTTTAGTCGATCGGTTGATTGGTTGGAAACCGTTAAACTTTTGCCCCGCGCCGCGACACCTGACACTTGACACATGTCACCTGACACAGGCGACGACAGCGGCGGCAGATACACTAGGAGAAAAAAAAAATAGAGGAAGAAAGAAATATGCCCTGGGCATTGGGCTTTGGGGATTTGGATTTTTGGTATTTGGGATTTGGGATTTGGGGATTCTTGCTTCATTAATCGCTCGCAATTAAGCGCCACTTTATTTCCAAATTCACACTTTGTGGCCGGGCTTTTGTTGCTTCTTTATTTTGTATTTTTTTTTATACATCTTTTTTTTTTTGCCTTGATTTTGTGTTTACTTTCGCAGCCTTTCTTAATTTTTTTTTTCTACGCTTTTCTTGGTTTTTGGTTTCGAATGCATTCAATCAGCGCACTTGATTGATGTCTCCACTGAGAGCTGGTGTTTGTTTTTGTTTGCACGGCACGTGTCGCGGGGTTTCACATTCCACAAAAAAAAAAAAAACAACTGTTAACGGATATGGAAAACGTATTCAGCAGTCAACCCGAGATTAATTGGCCCTAAGGCCTACTGGACAAGAGAGCGAGACAGAGATGAGGCCCAGAAAGAGCTTTAGAAAAATTGGATCACATTTTCTGGGTTTTACATTGAATTAAAAGTGCATTTATCAATGGGATTTTGGGGTTTTTTTTTTGGAAATTTTCAACTGGATTTTAGATTATTCATAGGGAAAACTATAGATTTTGTTATGATTTTTATTAATCCAGGGGAAACTTTGGATTTTATTTATGAATGCATAAGAAAAAGTGGCTTTAAAATTAATTTAAATTGGTAAATGGAAAGGAAAACTAAGAATATTAAATTTAATTAAATAAGAAATTCATTAAAATATATATAATAATTTATATTAGATATATTATTGATTTATTTTATTTTTATATTTTTTTTAACTTTTTTTTTTATTTAATAGAAAACAATGGATTTTTTTACTCTAAGAGTGAAGGGAACTGGTTTAAAAATTTATTTAAATTGTTAAAAGGGAAGAAAAATTAAGAAAAGAAAATGAAATGAATGAAAATATTTTTATCTACAATTTCCTAATTTACAATTTATATTTATTTCTGAAATTTCCTAACTTACAATTTATATTCCCAATTTCCTTATTCATAATTTAATATCCCTTAAAAAAAAATACCCAAGAAACCTAGTAACGTAAGACAAGATCTTGGCCACGTTACGTCATAATAAACACCTCTACTTAAAGCCTCGCCATATATTACAGCCTTTTAAAAGTTTATCAAGTCTTATTAATTCGGGGAAAAGTAGCATTAAAAGTAAAACCCACTCGTCTTGGGCGCAACTTAATTGAGAGAATCATTTTCAATTGCCGGAAGACGGACACAGCTGAC